ATATATATATATTTTTATTTTTATTTTATTATGACCATTAATGACATTAAAGTTGGGAACACTCCTAAATTCTAATGGAGTATCACCCCTAAATTTGCACCGGTTACAAAAAGGATAAGTGATCGGGGAATCCGCCGCCTCCTCCTACCGTTGAAAGGCCTGCGATACGACGTGTGTGTGTCTAAGAAGTGCACGGCTGTAAACCCTGGCAGAAAAACCAGAAGTGGACGCAACCACGCCCCCACATCACATCTAGCAGGTGTCAGCAATAAACCGACACCAGCCATATATACAGGATGTGAGATGCATTTGCTCAAGTAACGCGGACATCTTACATGTAGTATGCAGGCACAATTTAGCACGAGGGGTGCGATGGACAGGCCCGCGTGTGTATATGTTAGGTGACTTACACTACAGTGTACCTTCTGTGGTACAGTTGCAGGATATAACCATCTGCTTTTCGTAAGAAGGAGCCGTTTTTGTATAAAAGCATGGTAAAAAAAAGCATCGTTCATTTAAACTAAAGCTGTATATTTTTCACAGGTTAATGAACATCATATTCCCTGGTAGTATCAAGAAAGTAAACACATCAAAATTGGCCTTTAAACAAGTAAGTGATTGTGAAAAAGTGTAGAGTTTGGTGATACGCTGGCTATAAATCACTGTAAAGTATGCAAAGGATTTAGCTCCAATGACCCAATGAGTCCTAACGGCTGTAGAAAATCACTTCCTCGTTGAAGTTAAACTTGCTTTTAAATTCTCAGGCGTTTCACACGAAAGACCCATTAAATGTAACAAGCTGCAAGTGAAGTTAAATTTGCTTGCGATAATTGCCTTGCAGAGAGAAAACATAGAAATGTTTGTCATGGCCTGCCAACGAAATGGAATGAAAGACGTTGACACATTTGCAACGGATGATTTGTACGAAGGGAAATCCATGTACACGGCAAGTATTAACCCTATAGTGCAAGCGTGATGGTAATTGATCTAGACTCAAAGCTGTGTGCTAACCGGCACCTCTGTAGAACGGACACCTGACTATAACGGACACTTGTTGACCCTTATACACATGTTTCACTATGCTACAGCTTCTCGGTGTAACTGCCATTTAAAGGAAGTGCCAAATGTGCCCTTTATAGCCAGGTAACTGTGCTATTGAAGTGATACCACTGTGTAACTGTCATTCAAAGGAAATCCGAAGTCTCATTCCCCAGCGGGTGTCAGACCTATAGAGGTGCCTGCTAACTCAGGTTCAACCTTAAACACCAAAGCTAAAAACCCAGACAGTCCTGCCATCAATCATTTCGATTTCCACTACATAACCAGTAGTGACACACAACAAATGATTGCTTGTATTTGCTGCTGATATATTACCCTATAGTAAAATCCATAAAAGAAATCAACTGGTCCTGCTGAAAGGTCACCGGTCCCAAACTAGGGGACGTCTGGGACTGCTACTTCCACGCACTCGTTTAAAGCGAGGATTTCTCATATTTTTACCGACCGTTTTCATATTTTCTCATCCGTTCTGATACTTACCAGTACTGCTCGTAATAATTTTCAAGCTGAAGTTATCAGTAATATGTATGCTGACACTGACAGGGGAGTAAATTTCGCATTTATTAATTTCTCGATTCACTTGCGAGATGATCGTTTTAACCGCACCGCGCTATCTCGACGCTCACCCACTGCCTTTGCCATTCTATTTTACAACGTATTTTCTCCGCTCGCGCGCAACAGGTGATCAACTGCATACACCAGCTGGGCTCGCTCGCGCGGAAGGCTGGCTTCGACGGCAACACGATCGGCGTGAAGCTGGCCGACGCAAACAAGCGAGAGTTCACCGAGGAGCAGCTGATCGCGAGCAAGCAGATCATCTCGCTGCAGTACGGATCGAACAAGGGCGCGTCGCAGGCCGGCATGACCGCGCCGGGCACCAGCAGGCACATGTGAGGTAGCCCGCGCGGGGCAGTCATAGTAACCAGGCGCGCGGGGGGGTCGGCCGACCAGGGGAGGGGTGTGGGGGGAATCGAGGGGGTGAATGTGGTCGCATTGCATTTACGATTCAGTAAGAATTGACCGTTTGTAATCGTGTTGTGGCTCGCGGGGGCGATTTGCTAATTTCGTCGACAAAATATGTGTGGAGCGGACCGCCCGATTTCGAATCCTTGCATATTCGTGAATACTGTGATGAGAATTTAAATCGTTTGCATGGTTATGTGCGTCAATCGGGAGATATTGAGTGATTTTTACACCACGGTATTTGTGGATATGGTGGCAACATCACATGATGGGAGAACATCATGGGAATTGGGTTAGGAATAAGATTAATGATAACTCCCCTGAGCCTAGTGCCACACAAGTAAACAGTCTATATATCTAAGATGTCCATTATTCTCTTTGGTTTTATCATTTTAATAATGGATAAAAAATGCCACTACGTTCTGTATATATACGTCAGTTTTATAGTGAATTCGAAGTTATACATGTTGAATTTTAAATGGAATGTGACTGCAGACTCTTGCATAGGTTTATCCCTAGTTCATTGGTTGCGTGAACGAGGGGCATTGGTGTTGTAATTGCCTAAATGCAATGAGTATGTCCCACTGCTCATTCGTTCATATCGTGTTATGTACCTAAAATATGTATACAGTTGCATTTTTTACAATGTATAGCTGTTATGTTATCATGTTAATAGCTGTGCGTGTAGGGCAATGTAGATATAAATTATCATTTTGTGGTTATATATGGACAGATCCTTGGCCGATATAATATATCAACTGATAAAATCATAAACATAATATAACTATAATCAGTAATTGCTTCAACCAATTATAAGTAGTTACTGTTCACTGGTTAATTGTGTCGCACATGCCTTCACGAGTTATAATAGAACGTATTTCATATTATTTGTAATCATAATTATGAATATCAGTATTCGGCAAGCTAATTAACTCATGATATCAGAAGTAGATAATAGGGATTTAGATAATTCCCTATTAACTACTTCTGATGATATTTCTGATACTTCTGATGATATGCATCCAATGCGACAAATGAGTATTTCATTCCATGTCTGTGCAGTCATTTTTACATCGTTACCTCCTTGATATTGTGCAAAACTATCTACATACTATCCGATAGTATCGGAAGTGCATAATATTAGAGGAATCATCTATGAACCTCTGATACTAGTAAGTATTCATCCAACGCGACAAAGGCTATCTTTCGTTTTCTTCGAGATGTGTATTGTGTTTGGTAAATCTTGACAAAAAGGCTAAAAATTTTATAACTTGGCCACACGTCCAACTTTAAGTTGCATGTCCACTATCACACCACTCAAAAAAAACTTCTGGGCACATTAACCCTTGACCTAATTGGATCTGGTTCGACCAATCGGAGTGTAGCAGCCGGGTAGCGCTGTTATAGACTTGTTCCTCGCCCTTTTTATTTGTAAAAACGACCAGGAATCCGTCTAACCACTAGTAGGTTGAATGGCATGCTATGCTGCATGTGCCAGCAGGGACACACCACCTTTAGTATGTGTACAGTGGTGGCATTTTGATAAAGGTTTTCCAAGCATCCCAATGCATAGCTACAAAATATATGGAACTTGGAAGATCAGATTCTTGTTGGATGTATATTAATATTGGTACTAGCAATATTGATATATTAAACCAGATATATTATATTATATAATTATATACATCCCCTCATCGTAATGCATTATGAAAAAGTATAAACATTCCAAAAGTGCTATTTAGCCTGTTATTAGCAGCACATCTTATGGCTTGACCCAGAATGTATTTGGTGAGGAAATGTAAAATAATCACTATATGATTTTATAACATTCCTAATTTAAACATTCCATAGAATGACCAGGCAACACATTTGTCTATGCAGTTGATTGTATAAAAACCACGTTTGCAAATGTAGATCCATATAAAGGGGCTTTTTTCAGAATCGTTTCGTACCGATAAACAATACTTTCACAATATAATTGACGATTTGTATGCACGCTATTACGTGGGTTCACATAATGATGAATGTGCCTTCATTATTTCAAGTTGTTCACTTCAAGCTCCATATCACCACGCCAAACGTGAACCAACATGAACATGGATGCAGGCATTTCTTCTGTGTGATGCCTCTTACCTAAACATTTCCAACATAGAAATCACACACGTTTAAAACTGGTGATTCACCAGTAATTTTACGTTCGATGGTTTGAACAGAACAAAAATAATTACTAGTGTAAATGCTGATTGTTGTATGAAGTGATAATTCAGTGTTATATGCGACATCTTCGGTTGCAGATCTTAAAGATGTTTGAAGCCATTTTTGTGGGTTTCACCAGTAGTGTTTGTAATTGGAAATGTTAGTAGTAAAGTAAGTGTGCAATGCAGTTAATTATAATGTTGAAACTGGTGATGGATATTGGTGCTCTTTAAAACGGCTGCTGCTCACTAAACTGGTACTTTTGTTTTATCCCTTCCATGTCGTGCCTTTTGTCACACTGATCCTTTTTTAAGCAAATTATTGACACATAAAATAAAATGTAATAGACGACATCATATATTGTTGTTGTTGTTTTGCAACTATAGTTACCTCCGCCCAATGGAGTTGGAGGAGGTTATGTTTTCGCTCTCGTGTGTTCGCGTTAGACTGGTACTCGCTCCCACCTCGATTCCCCCATCGAGTAACTAAGCCGAGAGGTGGGACCGGGTACCAGTTTAGTGTTCGTGTGTTCGCGCGATCGATATTAGCCAGCCAGCCAGCCAGCGCAGCGAGCCAGCTCCTACACATATGCACTCCGTCAGTGCACTCTGCCTAGCTAAGTCACTCATACATAAGTGTAAGGCTGGATTGGTAGGTCCATTAAAGGCATAATTCGACCATCGATTATGCAAAGTTGACGAATGCTACAGTAACTGGCACCTTGTGTAGTTAATAAGTACATTACCTTATAGCCAAACGCGTATTAGTTTGTCCAATATCACTGCTAATTACTAAGAAATGTCTAATTGAAATCCGTAAATTTGGTAATCTGGCGACAACGCGAAATTTATGGCCAACAAAATAAACATCGAGTTCGGTTCGGTGACGTCACATGTTGCTACAAGATGTTGAGCATCGAATTGTTTGTCCCGGGTAAATTGTTTGCCTAGTGACGGCAGTCGTAATGGCGGACGCGG